AAAGCCTGGGTCCAGAAATAGTCACAGTGTCATTTCCACTATTTTCTACTAGCCAGAAAGTTCAAAGTCCACTTGGATTCAAGAGGACGGGACACAGATTTGAGCTTTCTATGGTCAAGGAGTGTCAAAGAATTTATGACCATCTCTAATCTATCACAGGAAAAATTGGGATATTTAAAATTTGAACCCTCTTATTCAGACATGACATATGCCTACATTAGGTTTTTTCAAATATGTATATATCTACACCTTGGAGGTATTAGGAGCTTGGATCTAGGCCACCACAGTAAAATGAATATTGCAGAAAAGTGAGTCACAATATTTTTGGTTTCTCAGTGCGTATAAAAATTATGTAGTCTATTAAATTATAGTCCATTAAGTGTACATTATCTTTATGCCTAAAATCAATGTACATATCTTAATTAAAAATACTTTATTGCTAAAAATGCTAGTCAACATCTGAGCCCTCAAAAAGTCATAGTTTTTTTGCTGGTGAAAGTTCTTGCCTCAATGTGGATGACTGCTGACTGACCAGGGTGGTGGTTGCTAAAAGTTGGGGTGGCTGTGGCTATTTCTTTAAAAAGGACAATAAAGCTTCAATTGACTCTCTTATGACACATTTCTCTGTGATGCGTGATGTTGTCTGACGGAATTTTACCCACAGTAGAAATTCTTCAAAACTGTAGTCCATCCTTTCAAACCCTGCTGCTACTTTATCAACTAAATTTGTGTGATATTCTAAAGCATTTGTTGTCATCTCAACAATATTCATAGTATCTATACCAGGAATAGATTTATCCCACAAAACCATTTTCTTTGCTTATCCATGGGAAGCAACTCTTCACACAACTAAGTTTTATCATAAGAGTGTAACAATTCAGTCACATCTTCAGGCTCCACTTCCAATTCTAGTGCTCTTGCTAGTTCCACCACGTCTACAATTACTTCTACTGAAACCTGAAACCCCTTAGAGTCATCCATGAGAGTTGGAAACAACTTATTTCAAAATCATGTTAATTTTGATATTTTGGCCGCCTCTCATGAATCACATGTGTTCTTAATGACATCAATAGTGGTGAATTCGTTCCAGAAAGTTTCAATTTACTTTGCCTAGATCCATTAGAGAAATCATTATCTATGGCAGCGATAGCCTTAAAAAACATATTTTTTAAAATAATCATACTTGAAAGTTGAAATGAACTCCTGGATCTAAGGGCTGCAGAATGAATATTGTGTTTGCTGGCATGAAAAATAATCTCCATCAGAGCTCTTGGGTGACCAGGTGCATTGTTAGTGAGAAGTGAAAGAAAGAAATGTATTTTTTTCTGACCAATAGAGCCTCAGAGTGGGCTTAAAATATTCAGCAAACCATGCTGTAAACAGATGCTGTGGAGCATAAGCAGAGTAGATTTAGTATAATTCTTAAGGGTGTAGGATTTTTGGAATGGAAAAAATGGAAAATAAGCATTGGCTTCAACTTAAAGTCGCCAGCTGCATTATCCCCTAACAAAAAGTCAACTTGTTTTCTGAAGCTTCAAAACCAGACATTGACTTCTTTTGTCTAGAGGAGAAAAGTCCTGGATGTCATCTTCTTCCAATAGGAGGATGTTTCATCTACATTGAAAAAAATCTGTCACTTAGTATAGTTAACATCAACAATTATATTAGCTAGAAGTTCTGGAAAACTTGCTGCAGCTTCCCTCTTAGAACTTGATGTTTCACCCGGGACTTTTATGTTATGGGTACAAATTATTTCCTTAAACCTCATTAACCAACCTCTTCTATGTTCAAACTTCTTCTGCAGCCTCCTCATTTCCCTAAGACATCAGAAAATTGAAGAGTTAGTGTCTTGTTGGGTTTTTTTTTACTATAAAGATATGGAATACAATTCAGGGTTAGGTATACAAATGCTGATTATGCAGGTACCCTTGTTGATGAGGTATGTCCTTCCCTCCCCTAGCAGTTTCACTCAATGGCCACCCCCCCTTGACAGTCTCCCACTACTGCTAATCCCTTTCTTATAGTATTATGGTAATTGTTCAACATTTGCTTATAAGTGAGAACATATGGTATTCTGTTCTTTGTTTCTGTGATAGATCACTGAGTATGACAGACTCTAAATCCATCCAAGTTGCTGCAGAGTCCACTGGATCTAAGGGCTTTGTGTTGGTTGTGGAAAGACAAGAATGATATTTAGATCTAGGAAGAATGACAACATAATTCTCCTTTCTTCATTCCCTTCTCTTTCTCCTCTTCCTTCTTTGTTGGATTTATTTAATATCTTTTAAACTGTTAGGTGGCAGGAATCAGATGAAAGGAATGCAATGATACATAAAACTTCCTGATTTCTCAGTTTGTATTCAAGTAGAAGAGTCAGAAAGGTGACATAAGGCTAACATATGAAAAAGTTGAATATGTCAAAGTGGACAAAAACTTGCTTAATACTTCTAGGGGACAGGAAAGTCACCCTAAGTCACTGATCTGGGAAGTCTTCGTAAAGAGGTAGGACTCTTAAAATAAGGAAAGGTCTGAGAAAAATGAAGGAAAACAGCAGCATTCTAGATTACTTTAAATTTTTATTTACTTGTTTCTTTGAAACCTATCTTGCGCCAGAAAGAATTTAATAGCATAAATTAAAAGTGTGACAAAATAATCTTATAATGGAGACATAAAGTCGAACCAATAATAAAGTTACAGTGTGTATTGTAACAACGTACAGTTTTGTAATGTGAGAAAAAAAACTGACCATGTGAAATATAACATGTTTTAAGAAAATGATAAAAAAGTTTTAGCTGCAGTGCTCAGTTATTTATGATATAAACAGGAAGATGAGGAAAAGATGTAGAGGGTTTGAAATATCAAGGTATAGAATTCCAATTTAATTTTCTTGGTAGAAACACACAATCATAACATTTTAGCTAGAAAGAACTTGTGACCTTTTAGTTGGCAAGATTATGGAAAGCCATTCTGTTCATGTTTCTTAATTTTTACAGGTGAGTGTTAGTTTAAAACTCTTCCCCTGGAAGTGGAAAAGGGTCTGCCAGAGAAACTCAAATAGGAAAACAAGAAAGAGACAGACAGTGACTGAGTTTCTGTTACATAATGTAAGTTAGCTTCTAGACCCAACTTAAGTCAATAAGTCCCTTTTTTTGCTTGTCAATTTAATTTGTATTTTCTGTCACTTACAACCAAGAAAACCCTAATTAGTAAAAATTTAAATAAAGAATAAGCAATATTTGGTCATTAGAAAAACAGTAGAAAGAGAAGGGTGAAGTATTATGCCAAGGTCTTGAGTGTAGGAGACCGAAACAGGAGAGTCATACAGTATAGTACTTTTGAGAGGGTAAATAATTTACATTTTGTATCTGTTGAGTTTGAGATGATAATGATAGAAACATATGCTAGGGGAAAAGTCAAGCTATCCATTAAAACAATAGGAGTTTGGAAGAAAGAACAGAGGAGTCACCTAACAGGCATATATTAACATTTTCTCTGTTTTATGCATAAAAAAGCCAAAGGAACAGGGAAGTCAGGAAACTTTTCCAAAGGGTTACACAGTTGGTGAGTATTGAGGATAGTATTTAAATTAATGCATTCTGATTCTGGAGTCTATACTATTTCTCATTTTGCTACATGAGGAGCATATTTCAGACGCCTGTATCTTTGGGGAATGCTGAACCTATCTGGAACACTGATAATTTGATGAGTTTGTGGATGTAGCCAAGCTTTTTGCTTACATTAGAAAAGTTGGCATATAAAAACCTGGAAAACGTTAGCTGCCTTAGTAAATGTGGGTATATAATTCTATAATGCCACTAGGAAAAGATGGTGGCTTAGAGATATAAGTCTAATATACAAACTCATTTTGTGTAACTTATCACAGTAAACAATGTTGAGATCTGTGGTTTTGGGAGATTGTGAAACTAATCATTAATACTGAGTTCAAATCAGGCAAATACAGTCTATAGTGGTTTGTAATACTGATTGCAAAAGGCAGGCCTTGGTCATCATGCTATATTATCTTTTACTGATGATTAAAATTTTATGAATAAGAATGGTGACAACTTGAAATAATTATGCACCCAATAGCTTAAGTCCTGCCTCTATGTTCCCTGCCTCAAAAGTAGAACTGAAGACTTCTAGAGCGAGTGCTCAGGGCAACTGGAAAATTTTCTTACAATTTATAGAGGAAATCTGGTCCATGTTTATTTAAATCATCATTCGTTACACGTATCTATTTTGGGGTATTATTGTACTTTCTGTCATTGTCTCACTGCCCTCTAGGCTTTGGCTCTTCATGCTTGGATTCTTTCCACTTATGGTCCCCTTTATAACATATTGCAGGTATGAAGAGGAAGTGTGTAGGGGATGAGCAGGAAGTCTATCCCTTAGCTACGAATGTCTACTCGTTATTGTAATTGCTATTTGTTTTATTCTGTTGGTTGAACAAGGAGGAGCTCCACTCCAAGCTGTTCTCATTTTGAATGCTAGATTTTTATAAATATCATTGCTAAAGTCTTTTGCAGCACTAATATCCTATGATTCTGAGTTTAAAGCCAATACAGTTAAAATAAATCTATTGTGTTTTGAGTAAAGATATTCATATTTCCCAAAGAACTAAGTAGAAGCTAGATAGGTTTATATAAATTTGGCTTTTGTGAACTTAAAGCAAAATTCATGTAAGATGCAAAGATAGGCTGTGTATGAAAAACTCTATGTTAAACCAGAAATTACTAGGTGTCTGTAACTTGAATTTTATGTTTCAATAGCAGAATTGTCTCACTGATTTTTGGAATTTTTTTGGGGGGTGTCCAGGATTATATTTCTCTTGTATTGAGAGAATCATTAAAGCTCTGTGCCTAATGCATAGACACTTGTCACTGAAACTTTCAAATTATTTCAGTAAGTCAAGAATTCAAACATTCTATTAATATTACCAAAAACAACATTTTAGAATTACTTTTGAATTAAAAATTTTCAACTAGAAGGCCACTACTAAATCAAAGAATGTCATGAAGACCAATAAAAGCCTGCCTCATCTTATCTCCTATGTCTTCAAAACACTTGAAAAGAATATTTTTCAAAACTAAGATGTTCCCATAGAATTGGCCACTTACCACTTGTCCATAATTCTTATATGACACAGACTTAAAAGTAGACAACTCAATTACTGTTAGAGATAGTGCAATTATTGCAATAATTATACAGAGAATGTTCAGGCACAAAGAAGATACCACCTGAAAAGGAGACACAGGGTAAATTTACTATATTCAGAATCACCATTTTGGTTAAGCAGCTTGTATTGCTGAAAAAAAAGTCATTTAGTTAAGATTTTGATCTAGTTTCTAAAGCTCTAGAAGGGTTTAGGTGCTTGTTATTAGTGTAAAATATTCTTCTGGTTCACATGAAACTCAGCTAATCTGGAGAAATGTTAAAATTATCAGATCAATAATCATCAAACTTCCACCTGGGCTTAAACATATTGTATTCTACAACCTTTTGAGTCAGTTAGAAGAAAGCATACAAGATATGACTTTAACAAAAGGCACTCCACTATAAGAAAACAAAAGTAAAAAATGATGGAAAATGACTGCTTGTAGAAATACAAACAAATATGAATTAATATATCTTAATCCTGGGTTTTTGTTACCTAAGGAAATTTATCAAAATCTTTGGACATCAGTTTTTTAATCTGTAAAATTATGAAATCAGACTAATTAGTTCCTTACATATTGTAGGCTCTAGGATTCTAAGGTGTTCTTCCCAATATAATTCCATCTCTATCATATTTGGATCTTTATTCTGGACAAATCTCCTACTTTGCTACAAGAGACAATCCTGTTTCCAAACTGGATAGTTCAGTAAATGAACTTTACAGCAGTATAATGTCTATATATAAAGTCATTAGGTTCTACTAAATTTTTTTTCATCAGAAGGTTTATACAAACAACAAACAACAGCAAACAACACAAAAATATATTTAGAAACCTTTACATAAGGTAATCATGATTTTAACTAATCCAGCATATTTGTGTACATTTAACTGTGTACTTCCAGATTTGTACTTAATTCTTTCATTTATTTTACAGGTAGAGTAAATTCCTTTATTGTTTATACACTCACCATCTTACATGAAAACCTAATGTTTAGTTTTGTGACAAGTGATTTCAAGAGATACCCTAAGCATTTCAGCTTACCAGGGATTGAGTTGGAGTCTTTGTTGCTTTTATGATGAAGGCTCCTGAAATGATAAACTGGATATAAAAACATATATTTATTAATACTCATGGATAATGCTTGCCAAGGGGAATGCATTTTCAACAACTCTCTTATAAGTGAATTACTTTTAGAATACTAAGAGTAACAAAATACAAAAACATTTGAGTAGAAGTGGTCAAGATAAGTTTCCATTAGGCAGTAATGATTAAAAGGTAACAACAGTGGGGTAACTCATAACAGAAACACAGAGGGTACAGTGGGCAAAACTCAGGTCATGGTGTATGCCAAAGATCGCCTGAGCAGTCCTGAACAAGGAACCCAGTTTGCTTATATGTGTGTGAGCTACTCCATGTATGAGGTCTGACAATTAAGTGTGAACTCATCCTGGAAAAAGTGCTCCATACCACATTGATGAATTTCATTCGAAGTCCTCCCCTTGGGAAGTTATGCCAGTGCCTAGTCCACCTGTTAAAACAATCTTGGAACTCTTTTTCTGGAATGGCCAGTAGAGCTGTTGTCGTATTACCCTTGATGTCCTGAATGTCATCAAAATGTCATTCTTTCAATTCTCCTTTATCTTGGGTAAAGAAAAAAGTCACTGGGGGCCTGATCAGGTGACTAGGGAGGGTGTCCTAATACAGTTACTTGTTTACTGGCTAAAAACTCCCTCACAACAGTGCTGAGTAAGCTTGTGCATTGTCGTGATGCAAGAGCTCCTTTGGGACCACTTGTGCACACACTTTCCTCATGCTGACGTTTTCAGTTAAGATTTTCCTGTTTATTTGTCAATGATTATTTGGACTGTTATGCTTCTCACAGTCAGTCAACAATTTTAACACACAACTGAATGAATGTTTGCAATGTTTTCATCAGTTCTATTTGTTCCTGGTTGTCCTGACCTCTCTTCATCAGGGACACTCTCTCTCCCCTCAGAAAAATGTTTAATCCATGTGTACACTCCTGTTTTCTTCATGGGATTACTCCCATAACTTGTACTCACATGTCCCTGATTTCACTTCCACTCTTGCCAAGTTTAACAAGAAATCTAATGCCTGCTTGTTCCTCAAATTCAGGCTCCAACATTCTTGCAACAGCATACAAAAACATACACCAACAATAATGAATACCGTTCAGCAAGACATCGCCACATATCAACACGAACACAGCTGTGAGACTCTGATACACTAAGGTCAGGAAAACTTGCCAGGTTGTGTGTACAGCACAGCCAACCTAAGAGCAAGGTGGCAAGTTCGTGAACTTAATTGTCCGACCCCAGATAACTCTTTTGATTATTACTTCTAATGCTATCCTTCCCAATAAGATGATACCATTGATTATAATTACTGTGTACAGACCAAGATGTGGAAAAAGTGATTCAAGAGTGTCTTCCATGAACAGACACTTCACAAAAGAAGACATTCGAGCAGCCAACAAACACATGAAGAAATGCTCAACCTCACTAATCATCAGGGAGATGCAAATCAAAACCACACTGAGATACCACCTAACTCCAGTCAGAATGGCAATTATCAACAACTCAAAAAATAATAGCTGCTGGAGAGGGAGCGGTGAAAAGGGAACACTTCTACACTGCTGGTGGGAGTGTAAACTAGTGCAACCTCTGTGGAAAGCAGTGTGGCGATTCGTAAAAGCTCTAAAAATTGACCTTCCATATGACCCTGCATCCCC